TTTTTTTTTTTCTGAGACAGGGTCTTAGTATGAAGTCCAGGATGGTCTGCAACTTGTGATCTTCATGCCTCAGCCTCCAGAATGCTGGGACTATAAGTATCCGCCACCATGCCCGGCTCCAAGGCACATTTTTTTGCGTGTATGTGGTACTGGGGATTGAACTCAGGGCCTTAGTGCATGCTAGGTAAGCACCCCACCACAGAGCTACATGCTTAGCTCCTCCAAGGCACATCTTTAGCTGTTTCCAGGAAGAGGTGCTGGGAGTTGAAGAACTAAAGATTTTCATTCTGCATCTTTTTTTTTTTTTTTGCCTTCCTAAGACAGGGCCTTGCTATGTACTCCAGGCTGGCCTCCAACTCACAGTGATTCTCCTGCCTCAGCCTCTCATGGACTCCAGCTGTGCACCACCACACCTGGCTGAATCTTTAAATCTCAATTAAAATATAATCTTTCATTAAAATCAAATCTTTAAGTGTTATTAGAAGGCCGGGGATATAGCCCAGCGGCCCAGCGTCTTCCTGGCAAGAGGTCATGAGTTCGATTCCCGGAACCAGAAAAAAAGTTATTAGAAACGTGTAAATTGTAAAGCAAGAGGAGGAACAGGGCTTGCGGTTACATCGGGGGTGGCGTCAAACCCCAGCTCTGCCATCGACGGCCGTGCACCTTCGCCTCCGCGTCCTCCTCTACAGAACCGGCACTGACAGTATGTGTGACCGGGCGCCGGGCAGGGCCCCCAGCCCCAGGGCCCCGGCCAGCGGGTGCGAAGAGGCTCCGGCCCGCCTGCCCCGGGCTCCCCGCGCGGCCGCTCTCCCTCGGGGTCCGGGCAGGGGGGTACCTGTGCCGGGGGCTGACGTGGGGCCGCAGCCGCACCCTGCAGACACCGTCGGCGCAGTCCTTTCCCACAAGGCTGTGCGGGTGCACGCGGTGGGGCCAGTCCTTCCACACCAGGCACGCGGTCACCTCCACCTCCCGCAGCCCGCCACAGTCCCGGAGCTGCAGGAAGACAGGCACTCGTGGGGCTCCCCGGCAGCCCGCCCCTCCCTGGGGCATCCACCGCCCCGCCCCAGGTGGGACCAGGGAGGGGAGCTGGCTTCCAGCCCCCACGAAGCGACCCGGGCGGCCCCACTGACGTCACTATGTGCCTTCCGGGGACTGAACCTAAGCCCTGCACAGCTGAGCTGCAGTCCAGTCTTTTTAAAATGTACTATTTAGAGACAGTATTGCTGAGTGGCTTGAGTTGCACAGGCTGGTCTCGAACTTGCAATCCTCCTGCCTTAGCCTCCCAGAGTGCTGGGATTACAGGAGTACGCCACACCAGGTTCTCATGTGTTTTCTGTGCTCAAACTAAGAAAACTGGATACATGGAGGCTCCCCGTTTCACACACAGATAATTTACTAATTTCCAGGGAAGAAAGATGCATGTACAGCAGAGACCTTGTGCGCCCCACGCAGCCCAGCTTGGGCGCCCCCACATGGGGCTCGGTGCCTCGCTACAGGCTCAGGGTCTCATCCACAGTGCTAGGGTCCAGCTGTGCTGCAGGTTTCAGACTTCTTCGTATCTTCATATTTGTGGGGCTGAGGATATGGCTCAGTGGCACAAGCATCTGCCTGGCATGCACAAGGTCCTGAGTTTGATTCCAGGTACCAAAAACAAAACTCTACTGTATCTTCACATGTGCCATGAGGTGTCTCAGCAATGGGACCCAAGTCTAACCTTGGAGCTTTTTTATGTTCCACAGACACATCTTATACACAGAACCCGAACATTTTTGTTTTGCTTTTTTTTTTTCCCAGTACTGGGAATCGAACTCACAACCTTGCACTTGCGAGGCAGGCACTGTGCCGCTGAGCTAAATCCCCAGCGCTTTGTTTTGCTTTCTCTACTCTGTAGCTCGGGCTGGCCTCGAACTCACGGTGATCCTCCTGCCTTGGCCTCGCAAGTGCTGGGCTCACAGGCGTGCGCCACTGCACTCTGGTTTAGAACTCAGAGCTCTGAAGGCTCAGGCTGCACCTGCAGCTGGACAAGCTGAGGACTCCCAACATCTGTCCTCGCTCTCAGCTCTGCCTGACTCTGATCTGCAGGGACCCTTGGACGAGCCCAAGTACAGGGCCAGTACGGCAGAATGTGAGCCATGAAGGTCGATGAAAAGATGGCACCGCATTTGGGGTAAAAGGTTTTACAGGCGGGTGTGGTGGTGCACACCTGTAATCCCAGCACTCAGGAGGCTGAGGCAGGATTGTCCTGAGTTTGAGGCCAACCTGGGCTACATAATGAGTTCAAGGCCATCCTGAACTACGTGGTAAGACCCGGTCTCAAAAAAATTTTTTTTTTACAAATCATAATGGATTTTGACTGGGGTGGTAGTTGTACTCTGTATACAGATGTGAAAACTCACGCAGCTGTATCCTTGAAATAATTCAACTACACTGCTGGGTGTGCTGGTGCACCCCTGTAATCCCAGCAGTCAGGAGGCTGAGACAGGAGAATCACCACGAATTCAAGGCCAGCCTGGGCTCCATAGCACCACCTTGTCTCAAAATAACAACAAAATATGACGAAACAAGGAAAGAAAAGGCAGCTCTGCGGGTGCCTGTAGCACCCGCTATTCAGGAGGATCCTTTGAACCCAGGAGTTTGAGGCCACAGACCCCCACCTCAAAAGAGAAAAAACTAAAAATCTCCACATCTCCACAAACTGTCAGATTCTTTTTTTAAAAAAGTACAATAGGGTACTTAAATCTTGGATGTGGCCTATATTCCCATCAACAGATGAGTGGATAGAGAAAACTGGTACCCATACACAATGGAGTACTACTCTGGCATAAAGAAGGATGAACTTGAGTCATTTGTAGGAAAATGGATGTACCTTGAGACCACAGTGTTAAGCGAAATAAATCACACACAGAAGCTTAAGTATCACATACCAGAGCGTATTTTTTTTTTTTTTTTTTAGTCAGGATCTCACTATGTAGTTCAGGCTGGCCTTCAACTTACTGTGTAGCCCACACTCACAACGATCTTCCTACCTCAGCCTCTTGACTCAGCTTGGTTGGGGTTTTTTTGGTTCCAGGAATTGAACTCAGGACCTTACACTTGCCAGGCAGGCGCTTGCGCCGCTGAGCTATATCCCCAGCTGCCTCAGCCTCTTGAACAGGCGTGCACCACTGCACTCAACTCCAAAGAATAGGGCTGGGAATTTAGCTCAGCGGCACAGCGCCTGCCTGGCAAGTGCAAGGTCCTGAGTTCGATTCCTGGTACCAAAAAAAAAAAAAACAACAAACCAACTCCAAAGAATAAATAATTTAAAGTACCTTTACAAACTGTAGCAAAATAAACCTCCTTCTTTGAAAAAAATTGAACAGAAACAGACTCCGTGGAGGTGGGAAGGGTTCTGGGGATAGGGGGAGACAGGCAGGAAGGGAGAAAAGGAATTAAAAAGGAGTAAGGAAGCTGAGGCAGGAGGATCACCACGAGTTCGAGGCCAGCCTGGGCTACATAGCTCAAGGTCAGCCTGAACTACATAGCGAGAACCTGTCTCCAAAAAAACCAAAAACAGGGACCAAGATGTGCTATGTATATGTACCAATTCCCCACAGAGAATGTATTTTTTGTGTATCACAAACATGCACATTATGGCAACCAGGGCCGGGACTCTTGCTGAGTAGCAATAGGTGACAGCTGACTGCGGCCAGTCTCTGTGGTCAGGGCCTGACCACACCAGCCAATCAGCAACTCGGGGTCACCAGCTGGGCCCTGCTAGCATCAAAAGCCCTCTCAAGCCACCTCTGAACTTCTAAAGCCCAAATCTATGAGCTGAAACTACGGTAACCAATGGGGCACAGCGGGTGTGTGTGCTGCCCTCTAGCGATCAGATGGGACAATGAGGGGACCGGCTCACTTGGTGCTGGGGACCCACACAGTTTGAAGTAGGCAGGACCTCCGCCAGGATCGGTTCTGTCTCCAGGTCAGCCCCACATCACCCTCATGTCTCCCATGTCTTCTAAAAGTGCTGCCGGGCACCTACCTGAGTAACAAATCTATTTAAAATGATCCCGAAGTGGAACTGAACTGTTTTCTTTTTTGTATTTTTGTTTTTTTTTCCTATACCAGGGATCGAACTCAGGACCTTGTGCTTGCCGGTCAGGCGCTGTGCCGCTGAGCTAAATCCCCAGCTGAACTGTTTTCTTAAAAAAAAAAAAAATGTTTGTGCTAGAAGTTGAACGCAGGGCCTTTGTCCTGAGCTACTCCTAGCCTACAGCTGGGCACACCCGTAGTCCCAGCACTCAAGAGGCAGTCTGTTTTATTTTTTTGAGGCAAGACCTCGCTATATCACTCAGGGTAGGCTGGAACTTGCAATCCTCCTGCCTCAGCCTCCCAGAGAGCTGGAATTACAGTGTGTGGCACCACACCCACTTGTTTTACAAAGTCTTTTCCCCAAGTCAAGATGCCCCGAATTGTCAAGGTCTGCCACCACCATGTCAGCTGACAGAAGGACAGGATTTTGTGCAGACCAAGAGGGGCGTGACGCTGTGGGAAAGCCCTCAGCACAACAGCCCTACAGAATGGCATTTAGGTTACCAGGGACACCAGGCTGGGTCTCGTTAGTGAGGAGTCTCCGGAGGATCTCGAACAACCACCACCTTCATGGGGTTTCCCAGGGGCTGTGCCCACATACTTATATGCCGGAACAAATGTGTTCCCTGATGCTGTAGTAATATTTTTATTTATTTATTTGTTTTGGTCAGTACTGGGGGTTGAACACAAGGCCTTCATGTTGAGCTATACTCCCAGCCCTTTTTGTATTTTGAGACACTGGGGTTTAGTTAGTTGCTGAATTGTCCCAGGCTGGGCTTAAACTTGACTCAGCCTGCCTCAGCCTCCCAGAACACTAGAATTACAGGTATGCATCACCACTTCTGGCTCTTTATTCTTCCTTTATATTGCAGTTGGCATTGTTTTTTAAAATTTTCTGTATTTGAAGCCAGTCGTAGTGGCTTACGCCTGTAATCCCAGCACTCAGGAGGCTGAAGCAGAAGGATCGCTGTGAGTTTGAGGCCAGCCTCGGCTACGAAGTGAGTTCAAGTCGAGGCTGAAATGCATAGGGAAACCCTGTCTCAAAAAGACAAACAATAAATAAATAAATAAAAATTTTCTGTATTTGTTTTTAGATTTTTTTTTTTTTTTCCAGAACCAGATATCAAACTCATGACCTTGTGCTTGCTAGGCAGGCACTGTGCCACTGAGCTATATCCCTGGCCCCTATATTTGTTTTTTGAAACAGGGTCGCACCAGTGAAGTTGAGGGCTTTGGACTCCCAGTGATCCTCCTGCCTCAGCTTCCCGAGTGCTGGGATTACAGGTGTGCACCCCCATACCCGGCATGTGCAGCATTACGGATGTGGAAGGTGACCATGAGGTGGTGACACTGCCTATCAGCCTGAGCCACGGTTAAAAGCACTCATTTATTCGGCTCCCTAAGGTAATTTAGGGGACTCTGCAAGTTCAGAGTCAGTAGCCTCAGGGGTGATGGGGACTCTGGGACTGAGTTTCTAGCTCTGCGCTGTCACACGAGACCGTGGATAAGCCGGCCGCATGGCACAAGGTCCCGGTAGCACCAAGGCCACCGAGTGAGCACTTCTCAGGCCTCAGCGAGCTCCTGCGTTGAGCGGGCGTCGGCTACCACGCGAAGTTCGGGCACAGGAAAATGGTCGTAGCAGACATGGGCTGTGCGGTCCTGACACAGCCTCCCTGAGCCTCAGTTTCCTCCTTGGAATGAGGGAGATAAACACCACGAATGCAGACCTGGGGAGGCACCATCCCTTCCTGTTGGGGGTTTACGGTCCTGACCATGTGGAGCCGAAGCCAACCCTGTGCAGGAATAACCGGCAGGCTGACAGCAGTGCGGAGACCGAAGGAATGACTACTTAGCACGGGAAAGCCTGGCCCCTAGCACGAAGAGCCTCTCAGGGGCCAAAGTAAGCAAAGGATGCAACTCACCATCACCAAAACTGGGACAAGGTAGCATCCCTGTCCCGTGATGGGATGCACAGAGAACACGGCCTGCTCCTGGGACACTGTCCCCCACATGCACTCCCTGACCTGATCTGCAGACAGACGCAGGGTGTGGCTCACTCCCCATGATCTCTTCTGTGTGTTCCCACAATGTCCAGGTCGGAACCGGAGGACAGACTGAAGGACCCATCCAGGCTCAGAGATGCCTGCACCCTGACAACTAAATGCTGCATGTAACCTGGCATGGTGGCACACACCTGTAGTCCCAGCACTCAAGAGGCTGAGGCAGGAGTTCAAGGCCAGCCTGGGCTACATAGTGAGTTCAAGGCCAGCCTAGACTATATAGTGAGACCCTGACTCAAAAAACAAAACAAAACAAAAACCTGCTGCACATGACCCCGAGATCCAGGAATGGGTGTTAAGACGACAACAAAAGCAACAGCCTTCCAGGTTATTTAGGGGTGGGGGGTACCTAGCATAGGGGTTCATATTAGCTAACATCACTGAATGAATGTTAAATTTCTATCTCACCCTGTGTGGTGGTGGATGCCTGCAATCCCAGCACTAGGGAGGTTGAGGCAGGAAGATCAATATAAGTTAAAGGCCAGCCTGGGGCCGGGCATAAGCGCCTGCCTGGCAAGTGCAAGGTCCTGAGTTCGATTCCTAGTACCAAAAAAATAAATAAATAAAGGCCAGCCTGGGCTTTAAAGCGAATTCAAGGCCAGCCTGTACTACAGAACAAGGCAATGTGAGATGATTCACTACTTTTTTTTTTTTTGATACTGGAAATTGAACTCAGGATCTTGCGCTTGCCAGGAAGGCACTTGCACCACTGACCTACATCCCCAGCCCGATTCACTACTTTCAAACAAGAGCTGGGTGTGGCTCGGTCGCTGAGTGTTTGACCTGCGTGCATGAGGCCCAGCATGTATCAGTTCCACCCCCACACTGCAAAAAAGAAAGAAAACAGGAAAGCAGGAGAAAGAGGGTAGGCAAGCCTAACACCCATGTTCCCTTCTATACTTCAGTGTTTCGGGCTTATGCTAGAATCCCTGCCGCCGCATCGATACCCAGGGGCCGTGCTCACCCCAGCCTCCACCACGGCCTCGTGTACAGTATCTGCTGCACACACGCGGCGCTGCAGCATAGACAGCTGTGTTTATTTCCCAGCTCCCCAGTGATAAGCCCTTAGTTCCAGCTCTTGGCCACGCGAACACGGCTGCAGCAGGCAACCCGGACCTCCGCTCATGGAGCTGAGGGCACAGCCACAAGGCCAGGAAGGGCCAGGCCTGCCAGTGTGGTGACCACGATGGGAACGCTACGACCCCAGCGACTGGACTCCGCTGAGTGCTGGCCCTGCGTGTGTACCTCAGTCCTCCCTGACAGATCCGGGTGGTTATTACTATCGTCCATTCGGAAGAGGAGGAAACAGGCACAGACAGACCCAGAAACCTGCTCAGGCTGCGCAAGTAGTAAATGACAGAAGCAGGATTTGAACCCAAGCACCTTATCCTTCAGGGCTCTTTTGTGAACTAAAAGGCTAAGACGCCACTCACTCACAGGGATAGAGAGCCTCCTGTCTCAGCCTCCGGAGTGCTGGGATAACAGGGGTGCCTGCCACCGCAGGGCCTCAGGTTTGGGTAAAGAAATAGGCCTTTGTTTGAATGCCGGTCTGGACTGGGGCCAGGTGGTCTACCCCTACCCCACCCCATGTCCTCCACCGCGAGGGCTGCGCGACAACCCCGCGAAGGCACGCGGCTCACCTCGATGGCGGGCAGCGTCTTGCTCGCCTCGGTGCTGCTCTCGCCCAGGATGCTGCCGGCCGAGCGGCCCTCGCACTCGTAGCGGAAGCGCATGCCGCGCTGCTTGGGCTGCTCGGTGATGACCAGGTGCGGCCGCGTGCCCGGCCCGGGCGGCCCCAGGCGGCTCAGCGCGCAGCCCCAGGGCGGGGGCGTGGCGGGGGGCGGGGGCGCGGCGGGGCCCAGGGTGACCGTGCTCAGCGAGGCCGCCCCGCGGGACACCAGGCGCGGCCCCTCGCCCAGCCCCGACGGCGCCCCCTCCAGGCCGAAGCCGTTCTCTTTGATGTACTCGTCAATGATCTCTGCGGGAAAAGCCCAGACACGCGCAGCTTACTCAAGGCGGGATCCCCACCTCTCCTTCCATCCCATCCCTTCCTTCCGGACTGACCCCCTTCCCCGGGCGGCCGGAGCCTGGCCCTTCACCCTGAGCTCCAGCTCCAGCCCTTTTCTCGTTAGAGAGGGTCTTGTTAAATTGCCAGGCTGGCCTCCAATTTGCGATGCTCCTGCCTCAGCCTCCCAGTGTGCTGGGATTACAGGTGTGTGCCACTACTGTCCAGCGATACTACTGATGGGTGGGGTACAGGGGGCCACAGCTTTGAACGTGCCAAAGCCATGCCCTATGTCCTGCACAGTCCAGCAGCCCCAACCCCCACTGCTGAAACCAGAAATCGGGGGTCACCTGATTGCTACACCAGGCTCCTGCCTGAGTCCCCGCAGGGACACCTCTCTCCTGGACACAGAAGGAGCTGACCCAGGAGCCCTGCTGTTGTCCTACAACTGCTGCTCTGCCAGCCCCAGAGCTCCAGCTGGAAGCGTTGTTTCTCTGGGTAACCCCGAGACCCCACCTCCCAGCCTGAAGAGCCTGGACTCCAGGTGCGGTGCGTGGCTCATCTGGAAGGACCCTCTTCACTGCTCATGAGCCTACACCCGCTAAGTCTGATCCATGTGGTGTGTCTACCTCTTTGTTCTACTTTAAAAACTGGCTCAGCAGAGCAGGGGCCACATCCTGAGGCTGAGACAGGAGGATCTCAGCAAGTTCAAGGTCAGCCTCAACTACACAGTGTGCTCCAAGCCAGCCTGCGCCACACAGAGACCCTGACTCAAAAACAAAACAGACTTTCCCCCTGTTCACCCTACTCCCGCCGCTGCCCCCAGATCCACCCTCCATCTCCCACCTGGGCCAGCTTTGCCCCTGCACTTGTCCCCCAGATACACCCAGGTGGGTTTTGCTTGGTCCCTGCCTGTCCCACTACTGCTCAGAAGCCTCCCACGGCTCCCATCTTCCTGGGGGTCAAAAAAAAAAAAGAAAGCCAACACTCTCCCCAAACTCTATCCATCTTCAAAAAACAGCTCGGCCACCTTGTTGCTTGCACCCCTGGAGCTGCTCCTCCCACTGCCTGATCTCTGCTTTTCCCCCTTCAGCCCAGGTTGGCCCTCTCATCCTTCCAGTCTTAAGATGGACCCTCTGGAAGGGCCTGGCACGCGGCGTCTCCCCAGGCACCTGGCTCTGGTTCACCCCTTCTCCGCCCCTGCCACTACCTGCCTCTCGTGCCTAGATGCCTGGTGGTCAGCACAGCACTGCTCCCCGGGAAGGCTCCCCAACGCCTGAGGAATGAGTGGCGTGCACCTGACAGTCACAGCAACGCCAAGGCCACTAACACGTACCCAGCGTCTCCTGGGAGCCTTGTGAGTGAGGTCCCAGCAGTCACACGGTGCCCTGGCCCTACACCCAGCACCCTCGGGAGCACGCGGCCCTCAGCCCTGGGCCCCACCACTGCGCAGATACTCACCCAGTTCATCTGTGGAAGGAAGAGAAGAGAAAGGTGAGGTCAGCGGTAGCCAGGACTTGTGGTTTTCAAGGCAGATGCCCGGCCCCATCCCTCTGGCAGCCCTTCCAGCTTCCTCCGTCCCGGGAGCCCTGGACTGATGCGCTGGGGTGCCCACTCCCAGCCAGTCCCGTCAGCCCCTAAGCTCAGGGACCTGGCGCCGCAGCGTCTTCAAACCAAATCAAATGCCTCCCCCAGCACATTCACAAGGGTCAAGAGGCACTGGTGGGTGTCGTGGAAAAGCGAGGGTCCTGTTGCCAGGAAAAGCAGTGGATATCCCGGGATTCTAAACAAGCTTGGGGCTCCCTCCTAGGCCCCCAGACCCCTGGCTGCTGCCTGAAGATCTGAGGGTGCCGCTCTTCTGGATCCAGAGCTGCATGCACGGCCTCACGGCCTGGTGCCGGCGGTGCCCGCCCCAAATGCCAGACCCGGCCCTGCTTCCTGAGGGAGGAGCGGCAGAAATGTCCTCATCACCTCCCTAGCGAAAGCGGGCCGTACAAGGGGCTGCGGGGAAACCAAAACCAACCTCCTGTCATTGCACAGGCAGGCCAGGGGGACTCCCAGCGAGACAGCAAGCCCAGGAGTCACGCAGTAGGAAGGGGCAGCCTGAGCCCGCGCCCCACCCAGGGTGGCTGCACCTTGAGGACCTGCCTGCTGCTAGATCTGCCCTCTTTGTGCCCAGGGAGTGGCTCCTGGTGCCCAGAACTTTGCCCCTGGGAAGGCTGGTCTCTCATGCCCCTATCACATGTCATCTGTGCAGTCACAGGGTGCCAAGGTCCCTCTAGGACGTGGGGATACTGAGGCCAGGGGAGAGGAAGGGATTTGGAAAATCCTTCCTAGACACCTGTGTTGGATGGACCTGGGGACCCAAGGAAAGTGAGCCTGAGGCCCTGCAGAGGCTCCGCGGCTGCAGAGGGAAGCTAAGTCCGGGGTAGCAGTTCCAGGCCGTGGGACCAATCGCCTCCGTTCTAATCCTAGCTCTGCTACTTGCTAGCTACGTGCTGTGAGCCCATTATTAAACCTTGTTGGTGCCTTGATTTCTTCATCTTTGAAATGGGCACAACAAACCAGATTTGGTAGCACACAGCTGTAATCCTAGCACTCAGGAGGCTGAGGCAGGAGGACTGCAGTGAGTTTGAAACCAGCCTGGGCTACATAATGAGTTCAAGGCCAGCCTGAACTAAATAATGAGACCCTGTCTCAAAAAAAAAAAAAAAGATCCCAGCAGAGCCTTATAAACCAGGCATGGTGCACAGGCTTGTAATTCCAACTCCTGAGCATCAGGCAGGAGGACTTCCATGAGTTCAAAGCCAGCCTGAGCTACACAGTGAGACTCTGACTCAAAAAAAAAAAAAGAAGAAGAAGAAGAAGAAGAAAAAGAAGAGAAGAAAGAGGCATAACAATAATTCCTACCTCACTGGGCTTAAGTAATTTTTAAAACAGAGGGTGAGAAGACTTAAAACTATCAGGTATTACGCACCCCACAAATGTTGGCTGCTATGGGACAAAGTGTTGGGAGATACTGTTTCATGGAATTGAGTCATCTCATCCCGTTCCAGGCCTTCGTTTGTCTGTCTACAAAATGGGTAAGTTGGAAGGCACAATTACAGAGCTTGGAATGCAGGGTTACACAGAGGTGGCTTAAATCCCAGCTGTCACTCACTGGTTATGTGACCTTGAGCATCTCCAAGCCTTCCCTATGGAAAGAGGTCTGAGCACCCACTCTGGGAGTAAACATGAGGATTCAGGATCACACAGGTGCCAGGAATGGTGGCACACTCCTATAATCCCAGCACTTGGGAGGCTGAGGCAGGAGGATCGCCGTGAATTCAAGGTGAACCTGGGCTACACTGTGAGTTTGAGGCCAGCCTGAACTATACAGTAAGACCCTGTCTCAAACAAACAAAACAGAAACAGGATCACACAGGCCAGCTGCTTAACACAGGATCTTACTTCCATGTTCCCTCCATAAAGTGTGGCTAATTTTTCTTTTTAAGCACCGAGGATTGAACCTAGGACCTTTGCATTAAGCTACATCTCAGGTCCTTCATTTTATTTTATTTTTTATTTTGAGACAGGGTCTCACTAAGTCACTCAATTGCACAGGCTGAGCTCAAACTTGCAATCTTCCTGCTTCAGCCTCCCAGAATGCTGGTAGTAAGTGTGTACCACCATGTCTGGCTCCACCCTTCCATTAAACATCACTAATCCCAAAATAGCCCCTATTAGGTTTTATAATCCCACATTTATTGTGTATGTATCTTCCTCCCCATCTGGAACCCTCCCAGGGATGGGCTGGGGCTATCTCTGTCACTGCTATGGCCCTTGCTAGCACTTCCTCACAGAGGGCCAGGTATACAACAGATGCTCAATAAATATTTAGTGAATAGATGATGTCAGAATTATTCTCATTTAAAAGCCAAGCATGGTGGCACAAGCTTGTAATCCCAGCACTCAGGAGGCTGAGGCAGGAGGATTGCTGTGAGTTTAAGGCCAGCCTGAATTGCATAGCAAGACACTGTCTCAAAAAGACAAAAAAAAAGAAGTACTCCCATTTAAACCAAATACCTTGCTATCTTGGTCTCAGACACACAGTCTTAGCCATGTTCCTGCCCAGAACCAGAGTTTGGATCATATGTGTCCTCGATGCTATTCCCCATCTTGTCACCCACCAAACCTTTATTCAGACCTGCTGGGGAAGCCTCAGCGCCTCCTTGATGGCCAAGTCTGCAGCCCCACCCCCATCCAAGACTGAACGCAGAGCCTCTGTGCTGAGCTACAGCCCCAACCCCTTTTTGAATTTTTAAATCCGAGACAGGGGCTCGCTATATTGCTAAGCTTCCCAGGATGGGCTTGAACTTGCAATCCTCCTGCCTCAGTGTTCCAGAGTTCAAGGCCAGACTGGGCTACATACCAAGTCCCTGTCGAGAGTGTTGGGTTTATAAACACACACCACCACAGCACCACACTGGCCCAAGACAGCATTTCTGGGGATTCATCCAAAGAGTATCCTTCCAGAGAGGATCCCTGACCCAGCTAATTGGGACCACTGACTATTCACAATAGGACTCTTGAGCCTGGGGTGGTGGCACATGCCTGTAATCCTAGCGCTCAGGAG